CAACCTCTCTTTTGTTGACATTTGCTTTTCATCAGTTACAATCCCCAAGATGTTGGTGAACCACATAACAAGAAGCAACTCTATCTCTTATGTGGAGTGCATGATGCAGATGTATTTCTTTATTACTTTTATAAATATGGATGGGTTTCTTCTGGTAGTAATGGCTTATGACCGCTATATGGCCATTTGCCGCCCACTCCATTACATCACAGTGATGCGCCCCGGGCTTTGCATCCTTCTGGTGGCCATATCCTGGGTCATCACTAATCTGCATGCCCTCCTACATACCCTACTAATGGCTCAATTGTCCTTCTGTGCTGACAACATTATTCCCCACTTCTTCTGTGATCCATACCCAGTTCGAAAGCTCTCCTGTTCAGACACCTACATCAGTGATTTGATGGTGTTCACTGTGGGTGGGGTGCTGTTTGTTACCCCATTCACATGCATTGCCATCTCTTATGTCTTCATATTCTCCAATGTGATGAAGATCCCATCTACTCAAGGAATACAGAAAGCCCTGTCCACATGTGGCTCCCACCTCACTGTGGTTTCCCTATTCTATGGGGCCATAATGGGGATCTATCTGCGTCCCTCTTCCTCATACTCAGCTGTGGACACAGTGGCCACAGTTATCTTCACTGTGGTTACCCCCATGCTTAACCCTTTTATCTATAGCCTGAGAAATCAGGACATGAAGGTAGCTCTATGGAGACTGGTTCTTACAAAAGTGATTTTGCAAATGTCTTAGAAGCATAGAACTCAATTTAATTCAACAAATATTTAGTATCAATCAAAGTGTTTATTAAGCATTTATTCTATATCAGGTCCTGTACAAGGAGCTGGGGCAACAAAGACAAAAATAAAACTATCCTTCCCCTCAAGAAGCTTATATTCTATTGGAGAAAATAAGATATGAGTATATAAATAAACATAAAATATATACAAAGTAAATATACATTAATTTCAGGGGGCATTAGAAGTTGGTAGATTCAGAAAAAATCTCAAGTAAAAGATGGCATGAGCTGAGTTTTAAAGAAAGGCATTCCAAGGTTAGAACATAATCTTTTACAAATCTTCTGCTCTTTACCCTGAAGGTGGATTATTATATAGGATCTTACTTCTTATTAAAGTAAGTGATTCAGAAGTGAGGAAGCATGGAGGACAACTAATGCAAAGACATAAAGAAGAAAGATGGAATGATATGTATGGGGAACAGCAAGTAGGCTGGTTTGCTTACAATGTAGGGGGAAAAGAGGACTAATGGGCAATATGCCCATTGTGGAAAAACAGGTGGGAGTCAGATTACAATGGACTTTAAATACAAAACAATAAAATTTGTCCTAGAACAAGGGTTATTAAACTTTTTTGTGTGTGATGGGTGCCTTTGGCATTCTGATGAAGCCTAGGGACTCCTTTGCAGAATAATGTTAATAAATACATAAAATGCATAGGATTACAAAGGAAACTATATTGGGTAAAAGGTATCATATATATATATATATATACACACATATGCGTATACATATATGTGTGTATGTATATATATGCAAGTATGTGTGTACATATATATTTTATTGTTTACAGAACCAGGGCTCAAACATCTGTCCTAGAGGGAGTAGAGTAGCACTAGAAATTTTTGAACAAGGGAGTGCCATGATCAGAGCTGTACTTTAGGAATATCTCTTTGGCAGTTGTCTGGAAAGATGGATTGGAGACATGAGAGACTTGAGGTAGGAAGATCTTTTAGAAGGCTATTGAAATAGTTGAGATCAGTTAGGATGGTAGCAACAGGAGCAGAGAAATGGCAATGGATGCTAGAGATATTATGGAGCTAAAATCAGTAACACTTGGTAACTAATTGTATATAGAGAGGGTAAGGGAGAGTAAAGAATAAAGGATGACACCAAGTATGCAAACCTGAGTAAGTGAAGTGATGGTGATGCCTTCAAATGATGTTAGCCAGTCAATAAACATTTATTAAGTGCCTACCATATGCGAAGTATTCTGCTGAGTGTTGAGGATACAAAGAAAAATAAAAGATAGTCACTTCTCTCAAGAAGCTTACAATCTAACAGGAGACATAACATTCAAACTACTACATACAAACAAGCTATATACAGGTTAATTTAGAAATAATGAACAGAGGAAAGGCAGTACAATTAAGAGAGATAAGGAAAGGTTCCCTAAAGAAGATGAGATTTGAGTTGAGACTTGAAGGAAGCCAGAGAAGCTGGAAGGCAGAGATGTCAGAGATGGGGTGGAGGAGGAGATGGAGTTCTATTTTGGAATGTACTGTTTAAGATCCATATCTTCACATGTCTGTGTGCATGCTCCTGCCTCACATCCACCACAGTCCCCAAGGGCTCTATGCCTTAAAGACAGGACATCAGGACCCATGAAGCCTGCATGACCCTGGTCTTCTTTATTCTGATAGCAGGCACCATGGACAGCAATGGTTTAGCTATGTGTCTGTCCCAGTGAGGCTTCAGTAGGACTGAAAGGTCAAAAGGAGTTAAAATACAGAGGCACTACAATGTAAACAGGGAAGGTTTTAGTTTCAGAATAAATATTTCACACTTTAGAAAGGTTCTGAGGCTTAAATAGCTTCATCATATGAAAAGATCAACAAAGAACCAGACTGCACTCATACTTCTGTCCTTAGCTACTTATTCATCTGCACAAGACCCCAAATGTCTTTCTTGTATATTTCCAATGTCTAGGAAATATAACTGAATTTAAACTGTTCACCATAAGCCAAGGTTGAGTACCTTATTGAAAAAAAGATTATCAAATGACAGAGGCTAGAACTCTCCTGCTTCCTTCCTTGAGATAGGAAACCTCAGAGCCAAGACTCTAAAGGAGTCAGGGAGGAGAGGCTTCTGTTAATACCACATTAAAGGTGATTGCCATGGCTGAAATAGCACCATAGCACTAGCTGAAAAGAGTATCATACTTGAAGGTAGTGTAATACCATCAAGCCAGACCAGTGGCTACTATAGCTGCACATCAAAGAATCAGTCCAAGGAGTCCAATATATGAGCCTGTGCAATAGAAACATCACTCCCTGAGAAGAGCCCAGTGACAGAGCAACCTACCTGGCCCATTCCAATAGCTGCTGCCTACAGCAAAGTAACTTGCCCAATCCTGTCTGACAGCAGCTCCCTAATGTCAGAGGGGGTCTACCTAGCTGAGTCCAAAAGCAACCAATTTCAGTGAGGAGTCAGTGTAATAGCCAAATGACTTCCTTGAACCAGCCCAGAAGCAGATTGGCCCATTCAGCTGAGACTAGATGACTTCTATGAAGAGAAAGTCCAGCTGAGAAACCCATCCAGAAAGAATGCCTTGTGAGGATGCCGTCAAGCAGATCAGAAAAACTACTCAATCATCAACCTCCATATCCCACAACAAATTTTTGGAATTTTTTTTGTTTTTTCCCACTTAATAGTATTTTATTTTTAACAAATACATGTAAAGATAGTTTTCAAAATTCACTTTTATAAGATTTTGAGTTCCAAAATTTTTTATTCTTTCCTTCCTACCCTTCCCCCTCCCCAAGACAGCAAGAAATCTTATATAAGTTAACCATGTACAATTATATTAAACATATTTCTACTTTAGTCATGTTGTGAAAGAAGAATCAGAACAAAAGGGAAAAAACACAAGAAAGAAAAAATAGACAATTGTATGTATTGATCTGCATTCAGACTCCATAGTCCTTTCTCTGGGTGTGGATAGCATTTTACATCATGAGTCTTTTGGAATTGTCTTGGATTATTTCTATTGCTGAGAACAGCTCAGTCTATCAAAGTTGGTCATCACACAATGTTCTCCTGGTTCTGCTCACTTCACTCAGCATCAGTTTATGGAAGTCTTTCCTGGTTTTTCTGAAATCTACTTGCTCATCATTTTTATAGCACAATAGTATTCCATTACACTCATATACCACAACTTGTTCAACCATTTCCCAATTGATGGGCATCCCCTCAATTTCCAATTCTTTACCACCACTAAAAGAATTGCTAGAAATATTTTTGTACATATATGTCCTTTTCCCTTTTGTGTGCTCTTTTTAGGGTACAGACCAACTAGTGGTATTGCTGGATCAAAGAGCATGCACAGTTTTATAGTCCTTTGGACATAATTCCAAATTGCTCTCTAGAATGGTTGGATCAGTTCACAACTCCACCAACAATGCATTAGCATTCCAATTTTCCCACATCTTCTCCAACATTTATCATGTTCCTTTTTTGTCATATTAGCCAATCTGATAGGTATGAGGTGGCACCTTAGACCACATCAAACCTTGTGAGGACCCTTTGAAGAAAGAAAGAATAAAGAGGCCCTGAAGTTCCTGAGTTATAAGTTGCCTTAGCTATATGTATTCCCTCCATGTGTGCCTTAATACCATTATACTTTGAATTTAGATCCACTGTTTTCCTCAGTCTTAGGGCATATTTGTGAGAGAATGCACCCTTGGATTTGGGACAAATGTTTTGACAGTGTTTTTGCTGTGTCATTTGAATAAATGTCTTTGCTAAAGAATTGGGTCTACTGGATGATTTTTAAGGGAAAATACACTGGTGGGAGCTAATGAACTAGTCTGTGGAGGGTAACCACCTGCAAGGTTAACCCTAGAACCCTAAAAACAATAGCTGCCATCCCTCTGGGGTTCCAATGTGCCAGATCCAGTGCAAGTTGGGGAATCTCAAACTTGATGTCCCAAAAATATCTTAAACTCAATATGTCAAAAATTGAACTTGTTACCTGCCCCCTTAAGCCTTCCCCTCTTCCTAATTTCCCTATTACTGTTCAGAGCACTACCATCCTCCCAATCACCCAGGCTCAAAAGCTAGGTGTCATCCTTGACTCCTCCCTCTCTCTCACCCCATTCTCCTTATTCAATATATTTCCTTTTTCCCCTTGATGTATTTTAAAAATTGTATTCATTTTATTGTGAACTTATGAAACAACAAGCATTTTCATAATATATGAGAATTTTTAAGAAGATAATTTGCACATAAAACTGCAAATCTATTATGCACAACTTGCTGTTCCTTTAAAATATATAATAAAGTTATGTAACTTTCTTTTTTCCTTCACTCCCCCCTCCACCTTAGAGACAGCTAGCATTAGACACAAATACATGTGTGTGTGTGTGTGTGTGTGTGTGTGTATGTGGGGTGAAGTAATATGTATATATATGTAAAATCATTCTATATATACTTCTATTTATCAGTTCTTTCTCTGGATGCAGATAGTATCTTCCTTCATCGGTCCTTCACTGCTACTTTGTGTATCTATAATAGTCAAAATGACTTAGTCACTCAAAGTTGTTCTTACAACAATATTGCTGTTACTATATACACTGTTGCCTTGATTCTGCTCATTTTGATTTCATTATTTTGTTTAAGTCTATTCATGCTTTTCTAAGATCAATGAGCTCATCATTTCTTATAACATAGCAGTATTCCATCATGATCATATACCACAACTCGTTCAGCATCCCCCAGGTGATGGGTATCCCCACAATTTCCAGTTGTTTGTGACCACACAAAGCGAGCTGCTATAAATATTTCAGAACAAATAGATTATTTTCCTTTTTCCCTAATCATCTTTGGAAACAGACCTAATAGTGATATTGCTGGGTCAAAGGGTATAGGCATTTTAATTTGGGCATAGCTCCAGACTGCTCTCCAAAAGGGATCAGTTCTTAGTTAGATCAGTTCACAATTCCACCAACAATGAATTACTGCTCCAATTTTTCCATATCCCCTCCAACATTTGACACTTTCCCTTCAATCATTTTAGCCAGTCTCTTTGTGTAATATCCCCCTTATATCCTATGACACTGTCACCACCCTGGTACAGAGCTTCATTACCTCAAGCCTAGACTGTTCCAACAGTCTGCTGATTGGTTTTCTTGCCACATGTCTCTTCCTACTGTACTCCATCCTCCACTCAGCTGTCAAAGTGATCTTCCTAAAGCAGAAATCTGATCACTAATCTGATCACCTCCCCTAATCAATAAACTGTAGTAGATCCTCTTTGGGGTGCTCAACGCCCTTCAAACCTCCCCTACCACCTTTCCAGTCTTCTTATACCTTACACCTCACCATGTTCTCTTTGATCCAATGACACTGGCTTCCTTGCTATTCTTCATACAAGACACCCCATCTCTCAACTCCAGGCACTTTCATGGATTGTCCCCCAAGCATGGAATGCTCTCCCTTCTAATCTCTGCCTCTAGGCTTCCTTCAAGTATCAGCTCAAATCTCACCTTCCACAATAATTCTTTCCCAATATCTCTTAATTTCTAACACCCTTTCCATCTGTTAATTATTTTCTATTTATCCTGGGCATAGCTTGTTTGTACATAGTTGTTTCATATTGTCTCCTCATTAAACTATCACCTCCCTGAGGGAAGAGACTGTCTTTTATCTTTCTTTGTATCCTCAACATTTAGTACAATGACTATCCTTGAAGTTAAGTGGTATAGTGGCTAGAGTGTTGGGCTTGGAGTCAGGAAAACCCCAGCTCAAATCCCATATTTACTAGCTGTGTGACACTGGGCAAGTCACTTAACTTTTGTTTGCTTCAGTTTCCCCAACTATTAATGAGGATAATAATAGCACCAGGATTGTTGTGAGGACCAAATGAGGTAATATATGAAGAGTGTTTTGCAAAGCTTAAAGTACTATGTAAATGCTAACTGTAACAATAACAATAATTGTTATTATTTTTGTGGGAGAATAGGGGCAGAGCCTTAAGAACCTGCCTCATTATTCCCTGGAGATGCCTTTCACTATGGGGAAACAATAGAGACCACTCTAACTAGGACTTGAATACAATGAAATTCCCTCCAAACTATCCACAAGAGTCCAGAAAAAAGCTAGATGTAAGAGATGGGTCAGTTCCATTTCATGAAGCTATTGACTCTGTTTGGATGCATACCTGAGGACTACCTAATCCCTTCTGGATGCCCCATTTCTTTTCTACAAAATGTCAGTCTTCCAATGCCAGCTACTGCTGTCAAAATATTCCAAATAGCCAAGTCTCTCTATCCCAATCCCCCAACATTTATTATCTTCTAGGTCACCATCTCATTGCTCATGGTTATCCCATCCTCCTCGTGCAGACAGTATCCACTAGTTCTCTTGGCTATCCTGTTCAAACCTGACCCCTGACACATGTTGGTTGTGTAACCCTGGGAAAGTTATTTAATCTTTCATGTTTCTAGCAAGTCTCTAAGACTACTGGTTGCAAAATAGCAGCCCATTTGCTTTAGTAAGCACCAGAATCTTTTTGAGGCAATCAGGGTTAAGTGACTTGCCCAGAGTCAAACAGCTAGTAAGTATCTGTGGCCAGATTTGAACTCAGGTCCTCCTGACTTCAGAGCCAGTGCACTATCCACTGCACCATCTAATTGATCTCAGAATTTCTTTACACCAATGGAATCACAGGTTTAGATTTTTAAAACTATTATTTTTGTTGTTGTGTACCACCATTTGTTGTACCATATTATTGTTTATTTGCACCTCATCAGAATTTCCCTACACCAATAAAATCACAGGTCTGGATTTTTTTAAATATTATTTTTGTGAAAGAGGAGAAGGAGAAGAAGGAGGAGGAGAAGAAGGATAACAAGACCTGGAGGGGGAGGAGGAGGAGGACATGATAAGTATATCAAAAAAATGTAAAAATAATGCAGAAACTTTCCTTTTCAAGCACTGCTGACAGCCCTAGAGGCATGAGACCTGGACTGAATAGCCAGGATGCCTGGGTTCCCTAGCCAATATATGTAGATTTATTTCCCCAAGATGACTGATGGTTGGCTCACTTTCCCTCCATGAATACTTCTTCCCCGTAATCTGAAACAAATGGCTTTAGATCATATGTGTTCCCCAGGGCCTGCCTACACAGGAACTCATGCTCTCTTGGTTGTGTCAAGGAGGTGGAAACACAGGGGACCCAGCTCATGACAGCAGCCAAGAAACTTCCCATGAGATGAGAAAACAATGAGGAAATCTTGTATAGCAGACTTCTCTAGCACAAAGCTCCATTTTGTCTTTATCTAAAATCTATCCAGAGGGAACAAAGAAGACAGCAATATCTAACGGGCAGAAGGGAGGAGGGGAAGAGATGCTTCCCAAAGGAACAAGTAGTCTAAGAACAACTGGTTTCACTAAACTTTTCTGATCCTCTAGACTCACTATAAGATATCCTTGTACTTCATTCATGATGCCTCCTAGATGCCTTTTATCTCTGAGTCTGACTTGTAATTTAAAGATATTACTTCCTTCTCCAGTCAGTTCTGCTGACCAAAAGAGAGATGTGTTTATAGAAGAAGTGGTTGATCCAACCCTGCCTATGGCCCCAAATTAATGACTCCATCTCTTCTGCTTCACAAAGAACTCAAGCATCTACAACTCCCATTTCCTATCCAGGACTCCCATAGCCAACCCCAAGCTATTTTCATCATTTCTGGTGGAGAGGGTCCCTGGATTCTCAACCATCTC